AGTAGCAGCCTGGTGCTGCAGGTGGAGGTGTGAGCAGAGTGGGTGAGCAGTGGGGGTGACGCAGGTGGGGGATGCGCAGTGATGGGGTGGGATGCGCGTTGAGGGGTGAAGCAGGTGGGTGACAGGCTGAGCGGGGTGAGCAGGATGGGTGCGCAGGTAGGCGGCGTGCGCAGGTGCGGGTTGAGCAGGTGGGGATGAGGATGTGGGAGGGTGTGCATGTGGGGGGTACCTAGTGGGTGGTAACATGTGGGGGTGAGAGGTGGCGGGGGTGTGCAGGTGGGGTGCACGGTAGGGTGTGAGCAGTGGGGGTGAGGCAGGTGGCAGTGTGCAGTGGGGTGCACAGGTGGAGGGGCTGGCGCGTGGAGGGGTGCGCAGGTGGGGGTGTGTGCAGGTGGGGTGCCAGTGGGGTGAGCAGGTGGGGGGTGGCGCCAGGTGGGGGGATGCAGGTGGAGGGGTGGAAGGCTGGGGGGTGGGCAGGTGAGGGGTGAGCAGGTGGGGTGGGGAGGTGGGAGTGAGCCAGGTGAGGGGTGGGCAGGTAGGGGTTGCACTGGTGGGGGGTGAGCAGGTGGGAGGTGCCACCGCGCCCGGCCTTGGCATTGCTTTTGTTGGAGAAGTTTAATGGCTGCTATAATGGAGCAACCCCAAAATAGCACAGCAGACATTTCTCCCCCCACCCCCGACCGCCAAGGGACTGCAAACCTACGCCCCAGGTCTGCCTGTCTTGGAATTGGGACTCTGCCCTCCTGGCCCATAGGGTTGTCTAAGTCCAGGCCAAATCCTCCCCAAGGTCAAGGAGAAAGAGCAGGCCGAGGGTGGTTCTGGCCTTTTCACACGCAGCAGGAAACCCTCCGGTTTGCATTTCTAGGGGGTGTCTCTGGCCACAGGGCAATTTTTCAGAGATGATAAAATGATCTGTCAACCGATAACCACCCGGCAGCCCAGGGCCCTGTGCCGGGAAGTGCCATCTGCATGTGGTAAAAGGCCAAGGTCTCGCCGCTTGTGGGCTATAAATTCAGCCTTTCATTAAAAAAAATTAGTTTTTAATGTAAAACATATATTCCTAGGGTATCCGACACCATCTCTGTTGACAGGGAGTACAGCGTGTGAAATGAAAATCTTGGGCTCTGGAACCAGATAGCCCAAGCCCGGTTCCTAGCCTGGCCAGTCAGAAGCTGTGTGAGCTTCGGCCCTATGCTTAACGTCTCTGGTCACTACTTCCCTTGTTTGTAAAATGGAGTTGATAATATTGTACCTACCTTAAAAATTGTCATGAGGGCCGGGCGCTGTGGCTCACGCCTGTAATCCTAGCATTCTGGGAGGCCGAGGCGGGAGGATTGCTTGATCTCAGGAGTTCGAGACCAGCCTGAGCAAGAGTGAGACCCCTGCCCAATGTTTAGAGACTTCTGGAAAAAAAAAAAAAGAAAAAGGAAATAAAATATAATTTTAAAATTATTAATAAAAAAAAAGAGTGAGACCCCATCTCTCTACCATAAATAGAAAGAAAATTAGCCGAACAACTAAAAATAGAAAAAATTAGCCAGGTATAATGGCGCATGCCTGTAGTCCCAGCTACTTGGGAGGCTGAGGCAGGAGGATCGCTTGAACCCAGGAGTCCGAGGTTGCTGTGAGCTAGCCTGACGCCACGGCACTCTAGCCCGGGCAACAGAGTGAGACTCTGTCTCAAAAAAATATATATGTATTGTTATGAGGATTATATGAGTTGGAAACACAGAAAGCACTAGGCACGTAGGAAGTAAGTATTCAATACAAAATAATTTCTTTTTTTATTTTGGTAAAATACACATAACATAAAATTTGTCATTTAACGATTTTTAAGTGCACGGTCTGTGGCATTGGGTATGTTTACATTGTTGTGCAGCCATCGGCACCATCCGTCTCCAGAACCTTCATCTCCCCAGACAGAAACTCTGGGCTTGGTAAACAACTCCAGATTCCCCTCGCCCCAGCCCCTGGCCACCGCCATTCTACTCGCTGTGTCCGTGACTCTGACTACTCTAGGGACCTCATCTAAGTGGCATCATATGGTGTTTGTCCTTTTGTGTCTGGTGTATTTCACTTGGCATAGTGTCCACAGATCCATCCAGTTGTAGCATGGGTCAGGATTTGAGTACAGTGCGTGGCATTGTTGAAACAGAAAAGATCTTGGGCATTCTGACCACAGCTAGCCCGAAGCCCAGTTCTAGCCTGGCAGAAGTCCAGAAGCTGTGTGAGCTTCGGCCCTGTGCTTAACGTGCTCTGGTACCACTACTGATCCCTTGTATTGTAAAATAAGGAGTTTGATAATCATTGATAACACAAGTACCTTCCCCATTGTTATGGAGGGCCGGGCGCTGTGTCACCGCCTAAGGTGCCATTGTAATCCTAGGCATTCTGGAAGGTCCAATGGCGGGAGGATTGCTTGATCTTCCAGGAGTTTTCGAGACCGGCAGCCTTTGGAGAGCAAGAGATGAGTACCCCCTGCCCCCAATGTATTCAGAGACCTTCTGAAAAAAAAAAGAAAAAGGAAATAAAATATAATTTAAAATTATTAATAAAAAAAAAAAGAGTATGACCTGGCACTCTCTCTAGCCATCACACATACGAGAAGATTCAAATTAGCCCCAAATAGAGACAAAAAGTTAGCACAGAGTATAGGAAGATAGGCGCATGCCTGTAGTCCCCCAGGCCTACTCTGGAGGCTGAGGCCAGGAAGGGACTCGCTTGAACCCAAGGAAAGTCCGAGGTTGCTGTGAGCTAGCCTTGACGCCAAGCCGGCACCTCCTAGGCCGGCAACAGATGTGAGACTCCTGGTCATCAAAAAAATTGGATATATGTATTGTTATGAGGATGTGAGGTGAGAGATTGGGAAACACCAGATAAGCACTTAAAGCATGTAGGAAGTAAGCGTATTCCAAATAACAAAATAATTTACATTTAATTTTGTAAAAAATACACATAAGCGGAATCACAACATAAAACAGTGTCATTTTACCACGATTTTTAAGTGCCCGGTCCTGTGGCATTCGGGTATTTTACTTTTTTTTTTTATTTTTTTTTAAGAAACATGTTCTGTTAATAATATTTGGGTATTTTTACATTGTTGTGCAGCCATCGCGCACCAATCCCATCTCCGAGAACCTTCATCCTCCCCAGACAGAAACTCTGGGCTTTGGTAAATTACAACTCCAGGATTCCCTCTGCGCCCAGCCCCTGCCACCGCCATTCCCTACTCGCTGTGTCGCTGATCTGACTACTCCTAGGACCTCATCATATCCTTGGCATGCATATGGCAGTTTGTCCCTTTTGTCTGGTGTGGCATTATCTACTTGGCATTAGTGTCCCAAGAACATCCATTTCACCAGCTCGTACGCAGTAGGGTCAGAGAGTTTCCCTCGTTTTTTTTTTGGAGATCTTCGCTTTGTTGCCCTAAGCTAGAGTGAAGTGCCATGGCTCCAAGCCTAGCTTCACCCCAGAGCCCTCAACGACGCCTGGACTAAGCGAGTCCTTCTTGTCTCAAGCTCCCAACGTACTGCTGGACTACAGCAATGCGCCACCGGAGGGCCCCGCTACCAATGTTTTCTATATATGTATTAATTTGGCCAAATTAGTTTCCTTTCTATTTATAGTAAGAAACGGGGATTCTCGGCTCTTGCTAGGCGGTGGTTTGAACCTCGCTGATCCTCTGAGCAATCCGCGCCGCTGCCCTCTCCAGAGCAGCTAGGATTACAGGCGTAAGCCACCTGGGGAGCGCCCGCCTTCCCTATCTTTTTTGGAGGCTGGAATAGATATTCGACTGGGATGCAACAGACTGAATTTATTATTTTTTTTTATTTTAGCGTGTGTTAAGGTGTACATATATGTGACCACACATATGACTGAAGTTGTATGTTTATCACTCTGTCATCTATCGCATGATCGCTTCGGTGTTGCCCCCTTCCACCCTTGCGTGGCTATTGTCAAGTCAATAGCGTTGCCATGAACAGATTTTCGAGTGTGCAAATCTCTCTTTTTTTTTTTTGAGACAGAGACTCACTCTGTTGCTCAGGTAAAGTGAGTCCGATGACCGTCCAGCCTAGCTCACAGCAACCTCAACTCCTGGGCTCAAGCAATCTCCTGCTAGGCCTCGCGAGTAGCTGGGGGGCGTACCGTGGCACATGCCGCCACATGCCCTGGCTTAATTTTTTTCTGGTATATATTAGTTGGCCAATTACATTTCTTTATTAGTTTATAGT